ACTCGGGTCTCGAACTGCTGAACGACCGACCTTCCACAGCCTGCAGTTCAGCGTCTTAACCACTGGAGCCACCGCAGCTCCTGGTACCTATTTATCTACTTGCAATTTCTTGCTTTCAAACTGCTAGGTTGGCAGGAGCTGGAACTAGAGACGGGAGCTCACTCCGTCATGCGGCAACTCGGGTCTCGAACTGCTGAACGACCGACCTTCCACAGCCTGCAGTTCAGCGTCTTAACCACTTGAGCCACCGCAGCTAAGCTGCAGAGAATGCCTTTCCTTAAGGCTGCCAACTCTGGGTTGGCAAATTCCCGGAGATTTGGGGGTGGGGGGGGGGTTGAGCCTGGGAAGGGTAGCGTTTGGAGAGGGACCTCAGCAGGGTATAATATGATACCACAGAGGGGGCCGCCGCCCCCCCTCCCCAAGCAGCCGTTTTCTCCAGGCGAGCTGATCATCACTGCCTGGAGATGAGTTGTGATTCCGGGAGATCTCCGGGCACCACCTGGAGGTAGGGTTGCCAGCCTCCAGGTGGAGCCTGGGGACCTCCCGCTTTCCGAACGGACCTCCAGTTGACAGAGATCAGCTCCCCTGGAGAAAAGGGCTGCTTTGAAGGGGTGGGCTCCATGGCCTTGTACCCTGCCGGGGCCCCTCCCCTCCCCAAACCCCGCCCTCTCCTGGATCCACCCCCCAAAGTCTCCAGGAATTTCCCAACCCAGACCTGGCAGCCCTACCTGAAGGTTGGCAACCCAACCTGTCCCTCATCTCTAGCTCAGACAACCCGGTGGAGCTAAACCCCTCAATTTAAGTGGTTGTTATGCGGGGAATGGAAAGTGCCCTATTCAATCAACCACCGCCTTTCAGTCCTACACCAGAAGCTGCTGGTTATGGGCTTGCCAACTCCAGGTTAGGAAATTCCTGGAGATTTGGGGGGGGCAGCCTGGGGAAGGGTCTCGGTGGGATACAATGCCGTAGAGTCCGCCCTCTGACGTTACCCTTTTGATTTAGGCCAGTGTTTGGTTAAGTTCACTAGCCGTCCTGAATTGTGATTTTACAATTTGGTTTTTATGTTTTTTATGTTTTATCTATGTTGTAAGCCGCCTTGAGCTCCATAAGAAAGAAAGGCGGGTAATAAATCTTTTATATTTTCTTTTTTTTTTTAAGATTAGAGGAATGATTTTTTTTTTAAGCCAGTCCACTGGTGAGTTGCCTCTCCTTCCTTTTGGGTGTAGTTGCCAAGAGGCCTGGAGAAAAATGTCCTGTCACTTGAAGAGTTGCAGTCAGAGCATTCAGAATCATAGAATCATAGAGTTGGAAGGGACCTCCAGGGTCATCTAGTCCAACCCCACTGCCCAAGGCAGGGAATCCACAAATACCTCCCTCCCCACAACCCCAGTGACCCCTGCTCCACGCCCAGAAGATGGCAAAAAATCCTCCAGGATCCCTGGCCAAACTGGCCTGGAGAAAAATTCCCTCCTGACCCCAAAGTAGTGATCAGCAGTTCACTGGCCGTTTAAGAAAGGGCCATGAGAGAACTGAGCATTGAGGCAACCCTTCCTGCCCTCCCTTCTCGTGATCTGCCCAAATTTACAGAATCCGCATTGCTGTCAGATGGGGCCACCTAGCCTCTGCTTGAAAACCTCCAGAGAAGGAGAGCCCACCACCTCCTGAGGAAGTCTGTCCCACCGAGGAAGCGTTCTAACGGTCAGGAAGTTCTCCCTAATATTTAGCAGAAAACTCTTCTGATTTAATTTCAACCCATTGGTTCTGGCAACAGAAAACCACTCTGCCCCATCCTCGTAGGACAGCCCTTCATGGCATGGAGGTCACTAACATCATCTGGTGAATAACATCCATACGAAGCCTCTGTTAAAGGGACAGGACACTGTTCATCCAGGCCTGTTGGCAACCCCACTCTCAGAGGGTAGGATTTGCAGGTTTGGGGAGGGAGATGAATTTTCAGGGAGGAGGACAGGTTGCTTGTGCCGTGGCACAGAGATGCTTTTTGCAGGTATCTTCTTGAACAATTGCCAGCTCCCACTGGGCCTTTCAACAGGGGCGTTTGCAAAAGTGCCAGCAACCGGGGAGGGTAGATCAGCTGTCAGTATTGTTAAGTGTTGCAGTGAATGCCAAGGAGGGAAAACAGTAAAAAGCCCAGCAGCACCTTTAAGGCGAACGAACTTTATTGTAGCATAAGCTTTCGAGAAACACCGCTCTCTTCGTCAGATGCATCTGACGAAGAGAGCGGTGTTTCTCAAAATCTTATGCTACAATAAAGTTTGTTTGCCTTAAAGGTGCTGCTGGGCTTTTTACTGTTTTGCAGCAACAGACTAGCGTGGCTGACTCCTCTGGATCGAGGCGGGAAAGGAGATCTCTGACATGGCTGACATTTCCTGACTGTTGGGTCCTTGCTGGTACTTCCCCGTCGATCTGTCAGGTGTATCTGCTTGGGTTCACAGCTGGCAGGTCTGTGGGGGACAAAAACGACCTCTAGCACATGGGTCTCCAACCTTTTCGAGACAATGGGGTAGAGATGTGAAGGCCCAGAAAAAACCCGGAAAAATTCGGGGAATTTTTCCCCATTTTTTTCCTGAAGCCTTTTTTGTTTTTTTCCGAAAAATTTCCGAAAAATTGGAAAACTTGAAAAAAGAAAAAAAATTGATTATGGAACGTTTTATTTTAACATGATGAATAAAATATTTTAAGACAAGGTGTTCAAATATTTTCCCAATCATTTCTAAAATATATATATATGGTATCAGATTGATCTAATTTCTGTGCACTGAGGACAAGCAAGTCCTAGGTTACAAACTGAACTCTCCAATGCAAGAACAAGATGCATTTCCTCCTTTAGCAGGTGCTATTGTCACGAGAAAAGAAAAAGGTTTCAGTTTTGTTTTTGCATGTGGACGGGTATTCTGTTTGTAATAACTGTTTGGATACACTATATTTTTAATAGGCTAGTTGTGATAATTTCATGCCAAGTAAAAATGTCCATAGTCATATTTTATGTTCCTAAAGTAACAGAATGACTTTCCATCTAGAAAAGACAAAAGAAGTGCATTTTTTTTCAATTTTTCCGAAAATTTCAATTTCCCCCCGGAAAAAACTGGAAAAAAAACGGGTTTTTTCCCGAGCTTCAAAATTTCCGGAAATTTTACATCTCTACGATGGGCACTTTTGGAAGAGTGGGTGCAGCCCCAAAATGGCTGCCGTAGCCGACCTTCGGTCACTCAGTGAAGATATTTGGGCTGTGGTGGCGGCCGCCGCCAAAGCAGCGTTTTTTAAAAATCTGGACAGCCAATCAGAGGCCTTGCTGGGTACCTGTCCACTTGCAGAGGCTTGTCCACTTTCTGTAAACATTCGATAAGCCCCAGGAAACCTCAGGCCCTGGAGACCAGAGGGCTGTTCGAAAGCCCCCTCCCTAAATTCAGGGACTCAAATGACGGGACTTGGCCTGGTCTCCTCTGTGTCGCCCCGTTCTCAGAATTGCTTCTGTCTCTCCTGATCTCCAGCCCCGGCTGCCGCAACCAGCCCGCCTCCATGGCCCACGCATTCTTGATCCACAATGTCCGCTGCCGGCCGGGGCAGGAGGCCGGGCCCTGCCGAGTGCTCTACTCCAGGGTCTTCAGTCCCGAAAGGCTGGACGAGGGCGGATGCAAGGACGCTGAGAAGGAGCGGCTACGCAGGAAGGAGCAGATCCTGGCTGTAGCAAGGTAATTCAGTCGAAAGCTGACTTGGGTGGGGACGTACTTTAAGGAGGGGATCTTTGTCGTGTCCTGAAGGCTCCGTGTCTCTACAGACTGGACAGTTCTCTAGGGCTGCGGTCACACAAACTAAATAATGCACTTTCAATCCACTTTCAGTGCATTTCCCAACTGGATTTCACTGTGGCCCATTCTGCGTCCAGCATTCGCTCCACTGTTTCACCAAACCCGCGTTGGAACAGAAATCCCCCTCTAAGTTGTACGCCACATTCACTTTCTTTGATTGTCGGATTTTATGGTAGCCTCCACACTGCAGGCCAGTTTCACCTCCTTTGATCATCGGATTTTATGGTAGCCGTCTGCATAGACTTATGCCCGTTTTATGGCCGTTCAGGGGTGACTCTGCAGTTAGGCCGGCGGTATTTGAATGTGGATTTGAGCCGCATCTTTTTCTCTTTCAGTGTGGGTTGGGTAAAACAGCAGAGCAAATGCTAGATGCAGAATGGGTGTCCGATCTTGGGTCCAAGTTCTCTCGCAACACTCTCAAGGTAGCAAGATTTGTTTAACTGGGATTGTTTGATTCTCCACTCCTCCACTTGCAGCTGCTGGATGACCTTGGGCAAGCCGTAGTTCTGATAAGAGCTGTCCTAGAAACGGCCGTTTCTGTCAGAGCTCTCTCAGCCCCCGCCTGCCTCACAGGGTGTCTGTTGTGGGGAGGGGAAGGGAAAGGAGATCGTGAGCTGCTCTGAGACTCCTTTGGGTAGTGAAGGGCAGGGTATAAATCCAATCTCCTCCTCCTCCTCCTCTTCTTCTTCCAGTTTGGTGTAGTGCTTAAGTGCGCGGACTCTGATCTGGGAGAACCGGGTTTGATTCCCCACTCCTCCACTTGCACCTGCTGGATGACCTTGGGCAAGCCGTAGTTCTGACAAGAGCTGTTCTTGAAAAAGAGCCGTTTCTGTCAGAGCTCTCTCAGCCCCACCGACCTCACAGGGTGTCTGTTGTGGGGAGGGGAAGGGAAAGAAGTCTGTAAGCCGCTCTGAGACTTCCTTGGGTAGTGAAGGGCGGGGTATAAATCCCATCTCTTCTTCTTCCAGTGTGTCTGTTGTGGGGAGGGGAAGGGAAAGGAGACGGTAAGCCGCTCTGAGACTCCTTCGGGTAGTGAAGGGCGGGGGATAAATCCAATCTCTTCTCTTCTTCTCTTCTTCTTTATTGAGAGTTAGAGGTCACCCAAGCGTATACAGAGAGTTTGTGTTGGAACTGTCGGCCCCAGGTTAGGGCGAGACCTATACAGAGTGGGGGACCACCCCCAGTTCCCCAAGTGCCCAATCATCAGTCCCCATACAGCCCGCCAAAGCTTCAAGCTCAACCCCATAGCCGCCCCAGCACCTGAAATCTAACCGTTATATTATCTTTGCTCCAAGGCAGACCGATACAAGCGGAGCAGAGAAAGCAGTGGGAAAAGTCAGAGAGGAGGGAAAGGAGATAACCCTTGATGTAACAGAACAGTAGTGCCAGTGGAAAACAACCCATGACAAGCGAGGCACGAGCTTGACAATGGGCCTGTGTGAACTGGCACAATCCAGCTGGAAAATGCTCTGAAAAGTGGATTCTTTCGTGCGTGTGATGGCAGCCTAGGTTTTCCTCTGGTGACCTTAACTTTGGGTCCTCAACCCTTTTGAGCGCATCAGTACATGTTGAATTCTGGCACAGGGTGGTGGGCACCGCCACGAAATGGCTGCCGCAGGAGGCGGAGCCAGCCACGAAATGGCTGCTGCAGGAGGCGGAGCCAGCCACAAAATGGCTGCTGCAGCTTACAGCTGACCTTCGGACACAGAGTGAAGATCCTCGGGCTGTGGTGTTGGCTGCTGCCGAAGCAGCGTTGGGAAAAACCTGCTGAAAAGTACTGGGTTCGCCGCATGGAGGACTCGGACGACGACATACTGTAGCACACGTTTGTTGTACTTCACACAGACAAAGACTAACTAGAAACGGCCAACAGGGCCAACTATATACATATCTACCCAGCAACCCCCCATTCCCATTGGAGGGTTTGAATGTCCCGCCAAGGTGGCTATTGGTTGGGGCTGGGGGATCCAGGATCCGAAGTTTCCATTGTTCTAGGATCCAAGCTCTGGCCTGTTCCGCGGACCCCTGGTGGCGGTCTACGTACATAACACCTGCACTGCCAACCACATCTCCAGTGGCCAGTCAGCAGCCCTGCTTGGCAAAAGCCCTACTTGGGGTCGCCAGGATAGGTGTTGGCACGTTGGGGACCCCTGTCTTAATCACTCTTTCTCCCCCCCCCGCATCTATCAATTGCACCCACGCCCTGCCCGTGGATGCAGAAATCTAGGCCCGTGTGCTCCGTGGTCTGAATTGGAAACACACAGATTAATATCTGTTTATTGCAATGAAACCGGAGATACAGGGGGCCGAGTACCTTAACACCTCAGCGCCAAGCTGCATTCTGCCATAATCAGGAAGGGGAGAAGGTCTTACACCCCCCCCCCCCCCCGCATCTATCAATTGCACCCACGCCCTGCCCGTGGATGCAGAAATCTAGGCCCGTGTGCTCCGTGGTCTGAATTGGAAACACACAGATTAATATCTGTTTATTGCAATGAAACCGGAGATACAGGGGGCCGAGTACCTTAACACCTCAGCGCCAAGCTGCATTCTGCCATAATCAGGAAGGGGAGAAGGTCTTACACCCCAGATGACATCACATAGAATTTACACATTAAAGAATCTCCAGTGGGTACCAAACAGGTAGCATCATTTGACTCTAAACTTTACTGTTGGTCTCTCCTTCTACTGGCCGTGTATGTCAGTGATTGCATTTGCTCGTCTGACTTTAGAACAGTGAGAAACGTTAGGGAACGCTGTTCCCTCTAAGCTATGGAATCTTCTGAGCAAAAATTCTGCTTTGTGAGCTACTGGGCTTTAAAGTTGGGAGCGAGCGGTTTGGCTGCTGCATAAGTTAGTTTGCTCTGGAGCCCTCCTTCCTGAGCTGAGACAAAAATGTGTGAGCCGGAGGCTTAAAAGCCATGAGCTAGGCTCACACTAACTCATCTTAGAGGGAACACTGGTCCGGGACCCTTTCTGGCCTCAGCGAGGCTAGCCTCCCTCCACCTCGCTTTTGGAGAGCTAGCTGATAAGGGCTGTGATTCACCTTACACTTAGCTCGTGGCATCACCATCTTTCTGTCCACAGGCAAGCGGAGTCGGCGTGCAGATTGTACCACCAGGCCTCGGGGAAGCCCCCCTCCGAACACCTCATCCAGCTGCCGGACGAGTCCGTCTCCCTGCAGGACGCTCCCTCGGGGGTCTTCCGTCTCCCGCCGGGGGACCCCTTCTGCGAGGAGAAGACCGTGCTCTGGCTGGCCGTCCAGTCCCTGGGCTTCTCTCTGGTCTGCGACCCCCACGAGAACCCGATGCTGGCGGAGAGCACCCTGCGGCTGCTGGCCAAGGAGCTCCTGGACCACCTCAAGCTGCTCGGCGCCGGGAGCGACGTGGTGCTCAAGGGCGACAAGACCGAGGCCATCCTCGGCAAGTTCCTGCCGCACGGCCAGCTGCGCTTCCTGAACGACCAGTTTGTGCTCAGCCTGGAGAGGGAGGCGGCCGCCTCTCTCGGCAAATAGGAGGGCTGGGACCGGACGGACGGGAAAGGGAGATGTTTCTCTAGGTCCCCAGGGATTAAAGTGTGGAATTTGCTGCTGGAGGATGTAGTGATGGCCGCAGGCATGGGGATGGTGGAAAGCGCTGTCAAGTCACAGCCAATTTTTGGCGACCCCTCATGGGGTTTCCAAGGCAAGAGATGTTCAGACGTGGTTTGCCATTGCCTGCCTCTGCGTGGCCACCCTGGACTTCCTTGGGGGTCTTTGGCTTGGGGAAACGACGGCTGAGGGGTGACACGGTCGAGGTTTATAAGACTATGCACGGGATAGAGCAGGTCGAGAAAGGGATACTTTTCTCCCTTTCTCACAATACAAGAACTCGTGGGCACTCCATGAAACTGCTGAGCAGTTGGGTTAGAACGGATAAAAGGAAGTCCTTCTTCACCCAAAGAGTGATTAACACATGGAATCCACTGCCACAGGAAGTGGTGGCGGCTACAAGCATGGACGGCTTCAAAAGGGAATTAGATAAGGATATGGAGCAGAGGTCCATCGGTGCCTAATAGCCACAAGGTCTAGATAGGGACTCTCGGTCTGGGGGCAAGGGATGCACTCTATTCTTCGTGCTTGGGGACAGTGGGAGGGCTTCTAGTGTCCTGGACCCACTGCTGGACCCCCTGATGGCCCCTGGTATTTTTGACCGCTGTGTGACAGAGTGGTGGGCCATTGGCCTGATCCAGCATTGGCTTCTCTTATGTTCTTATAAGAGGGAACTGGATAAGCATACGGAGCAGAGGTCCATCTATGGCTATTAGTCACAAGGTCTAGATACAAACTCTCAGTCTGGGGCAAGGGATGCTCTGTATTCTTGGTGCTTGGGGGGGACAACAGCGGGAGGGTGTCTAGTGTCCTGGACCCACTGCTGGACCTCCTGATGGCCCCTGGTATTCTTGGCCACTGTGTGACACAGAGTGTTGGACTGGATGGGCCATTGGCCTGATCCAACACTGGCTTCTCTTATGTCCTTAAGAGCAGAGGTCCATCAGTGGCTTTTAGCCACAAGGTATAGAGGGAACTCTCAGGCTGGGGCAAGGGATGCTCTGTCTTCTTGGTGCTTGTGGGGGGTCAACAGTGGGAGGGCTTCTAATGTCCTGGCCCCACTGGTGGACCTCCTGATGGCACCTGGTATTTTTGGCCACTGTGTGACAGAGTGTTGGACTGGATGGGCCTTTGGCCTGATCCAACATTGGCTGCTCTTATGTTCTTATGGTGGTCTCCCATCCAAGTACTAATCAGGGCTGACCTTGCTTAGCTTTTAAAATCTGATGAGATTAGGCTAGGCTGGCTGCTCCAGGTCAGCGTGGCCATAGGCACAGACGGCTTTAAAAGGGGATTAGACAGATTCATGGAGGAGAAGTCTATCAGCGGCTATTGGCTCTGGTGACTGAAGGGAACCTCCATATTCATGGGCAGTCAGCCTCTGAATCCCAGAGCCAGGGGGCAACATCAGGGAAAGGCCTCGGCCTCCAAGTCCTGTTGTTGGCCAACCAGAGAAACTGGCTGGCCAGTGGTCCAATCCAACGTGCCTCTTCGTGTGTTCTTCTGAAGGCCCTTGGCCTCTCTGCCCTGTTGTTGGCCCTCCAGAGGACCTGCGTGAGACAGGATGCTGGACTGGATGGACCACTGGTCTGATCCAGCACCCTCCAAGTCCTGTTGTTGGCCATCCAGAGAAACTGGCTGTCCACTGGTCCGATCCAACATGGCTCTCCGTGTGTTCTGAAGGCCTTGGCCTCTCTGCCCTGTTGTTGGGCCTCCAGAGGACCTGCGTGAGACAGGATGGTGGACTGGCTGGACCACTGGTTTTTATCAGGGGAAGGCCTCGGCCTCTCTGCCCTGTTGCTGGCCCTCCAGAGGAACTGCTTGGCCACTGTGTGAGACAGGATGCTGGACTAGATGGACCCTCCCTGGTCTGATCCAGCAGGGCTCTTCTGATATTAGGGGAAGGCCTCGGCCTCCCTGCCCTGGTTTTGGCTCTCCAGAGGAACTGGCTGGCCCCTGTGTGAGAAGGGATGCTGGACTAGATGGATCCTCGCTGGTCTGATCCAGGAGGGCTCTTCTTAGGTTCTTATCAGGGGAAGGCCTCGGCCTCTCTGCCCTGTTGTTGGCCCTCCAGAGGAACTGGCTGGCCATTGTGTGAGGCAGGATGCTGGACTTGTGAGGGGAGATAGAGGAACATCTCAGATGCAACAAAAGCCCAAATATGGCCAGGCTAGGTGGGATGATGGGACAGATGAGTAATTTAGGTGGGTGGATTGGGGTCACCTGAGCTTGATGACACATTCCTTGGGCTAGTGTGGGAATGAGTGGAGAAGGCTGTATGGGGGAGGGGGTTCTGGGGTCTCAGATTATGGTCACATGGGCTCTTGAAGCTGCCATACCCCCAGTCAGACCCTTGGTCCTTCAGGGTCCGTATGCTCTACTCTGAGCGGCAGCAGCTCTCAGGCAGGGGTCTTTCACATCACCTGCTGCCTGGTGCTTTACTGGAGATGCCAGAGATTGGGCCTGGGACCTTCTGCATGCCAAGCAGAGGCTCTACCGCTGACCCACGGCCCTTTCTTTACATCTCTCCAGGGTCTCAGGCAGAAAGGTCTTTCCCATCGCCTCCTGCCTGGTCCTTTGTACCTGGAGATGTTGGGGATTGAACCTGGGTCCTTCTGCGTGCCAAGCAGATTCTCTGCCACTGAGCCACGGCCCCTCTTTACAGCTCTCCAGGGTCTCAGGGAGAAGTGTTTCACATCGCCAACTGCATGGGCGTTTTAACTGGAGATGCCGGGGATTGAACCTGGGACCTTCTGCATGCCAAGCAGAGGCTCTGCCACTGAGCCCCTCACATGAAATCAGACCCGTCAGTCCATCAAAGTCAGTATGGTCTACTCCAACTGGCAGTGACTCTCCAGGGTCTCTGGCGGAGGTCTTTCCCATCACCTCCTGCCTGGTCCTTAACTGGAGAGGCCGGAGATTGAACCTGGGACCTTCTGCATGCCAAGCAGATGCTCTACCACTGAGCCAGAGCCCCTCCCCACAAACCTGAGTCAATTGCTCATTTGCTGGACTTGCAGGGGAGCTCTGGAGGCTTTAATCAGTGTGCTCCCTGGGGCATATGAGCAGTTGTGCTACACCTCTGGCAGTGTGCCAGAGGAATCCCTGCCAGTTTCAGGAACCAAACTGGATGTTTTATCCAGGCCTTTGGGGGCTGGGCCAGAGGCTCTTTCTCAATGAGCAGCAGGGGTCCACATGGGGGTGGCCTCATAGGAAACACTGTGCGGTGTGGCAGATGGAGCCACTGTGGTCTAGTGGACAGAGTGGCAGGCTTAGGACCAACGCTCCCTCTAAATGCAGGGGTCCACGTGGGGGTGGCCTCATAGGAAACACTGTGCAGTGTGGCAGATAGAGCCACTGTGGTCTAGTGGACAGAGTGGCAGGCTTAGGACCAACGCTCCCTCTAAGCTGTGGAGTCTTCTGAGCAAAAATTCTACTTTGTGAGCTACTGGCATTAAAGTTGTGAGCAAGCGATTTGGCTGCTGCATAAATTAGTTTGCCCTGGAGCCCTCCTTCCTGAGCTAAGACAAAAATGTGTGAGCTGGAGGCTAAAAAACTGTGAGCTAGCTCTCACCAACTCAGCTTAGAGGGAACACTGCTTAGGGCCCGGGTGACCAAGGTTCGAATCCCCTCTTCTGCCACGGAAGCCTGCTGGGTTGACCTTGGACAGTTCACAAACTCTCAGTCTAGCCTACCTCACAGGTTGGTTGTGAGAAAACAGGAGGGGAAGAGAACGATGTTATAAAGAGCGACTTTGAGTCCCAAGTGGGGAGGAAATCGGGATATAAATCAGTAAACGCAAGCACATCTTCAGTGGGGCTCATTGAAGTATTTCCCACGGTGCACGGGTGATTCAGTTACTCCTAAGCCTGGCCATGTGTAAAGGGCGGCAGAGGCGGTCCTCGGGACAGCTTGCCCCCAAAGGAAGAAAGGATGGGGCGTTTGGGTCACATCTTGGGGGAGGGGAGGAGGAGAGCTAAATGCCTGGCAATGTTCCCTCTAAGCTGTGGAGTTTTGTGAGCAAAAATTCTACCTTGTGAGCTGCTGGCATTAAAGTTGTGAGTGAGCAGTTTGGCTACTGCATCAATTAGTGTGCTCTGGAGCCCTCCTTCCTGAGCGAAGGCAGAAACGTGTGAGCCGGAGGCTAAAAAACTGTGAGCTAGCTCACACTCACTCAGCTTACAGGGAACACTGCCCCTCCACCCAGAAGTGACGCCACATCCTTTGTGATGCTCTAGGCATTCCCCCAGTCTCCGTGGTCTTTATCGTAGATATTGAGGGAATCCCTTGGGTGTCACAACCATGCACCATCCCATCCACTGAATCGCCACCCTCCCAGGAACTTCCCCTCCCAAAATCACTGAATATTCTCCAGCGCAGGGCTGGCATCATAAAAGCCTGCACTGAAATAAATGTTGTTCCTTCTAAGGTGCCACTGGACTCCTGCTTACTTTTGCTGCAACAGACTAGGCTATGGGGTCGCCAGACCCCCTGGTGGAGGTAGGGGTCCCCGGCTACCAGGCCCCACTTCCCTGCTGCCAATCAGGTGGCCAGCGGGGTGGACTTCCTCGGGAAAAGAGAAAGGCCCAGTCGACATTGCAGTGACGTGGCTGCGTCATTTCTGGTGTGGCCAGGAAGTGACGTTATCACGCCAGAGACATCAGGGCAACGCTCTGGTATTTGGGGGGGAAAACACTATGGTCGAAGCCAAATTGACCCGACAGTTTCCCCCCAAATAGCAGAGCTGTGTGATGATGTCAGTTTGGTGTAGTGGTTGAATGCACAGACTCCGAGCTGCGTTTGATTCCCCACTCCTCCACATGCAGCTGCTGGTGTGACCTTGGGCCAGTTACAAGCTCTCTCAGAGCTGTTCTCTCAAGAGCCGTTTCTGTCAGAGCTCCACCAGCCTCACAGGGTGTCTGTTGTGAGGAGGGGAAGGAAAAAGGAGTTTGTAAGCC